TCTCTCTCTCTCTCTCTCTCTCTCTCTCTCTCTCTCTCTCTCTCTCTCGTGCGCGCGCGCGCCCTTTTCTCCCTCCCTCCCTCCCTTTCACTTCCACCACTGCCCTTCTCACTCCTCCTCCTTGCTCTTTTTCGTGGCTAAGACCGTCTGTGCTCCCTCCCTCCCTCTTGATTTTGCCATTCATGTTTCCGTGTTTTCTACCTGCTTACCTGACTCAGAACAATAATTTTATTAATAATCAAAGACTACAGACTCGTACAGAGTCCATCTTCTCTGCCTCCAGCACTAGGATCTTTCTCTGCGATCCCCTCCCTCCTTCCTTGACAACAAGTCTCTCACTACAACAATCACCCACCCTTGGCCCACACTCAACGGCAATGTCCCTCTCCCCAAGCGCTGCTGCTGCTTCCAAGCAAGCACCGGACCAATCGATCCCGGAAACGACCATGCAGCATAGCCTGAGCGGCAGAGAAGTCAACAAGAAGGGAGAGCATCATCCAGAAGACAGGAGCTGAGCAAACACCTCCACCACAAATCAGATCTCACCTCCAAATTTCTGTCCTCGCTGTCTCTCTCCTGCGGCTTTGGAGGCTGCGGCCTCGCCTACACTACAGGCAGCCTCCTCGCAGCTATGATGGCTGCCTCGCCTACCACTCCATTTCTGCCTGGAGCATTACGTTTCTTTCCTTCAGCATGTGAGCTCCAACATCAACCGGCCCAGGCAGAATGAATGCCTGAACTGAGTCCGGGCCTGCCTTTGTACTGTCGATTTGGACTTGGCTTGACCTCAGGTTGCCTCCTCGAATGGCTCAGATTTGCTCGATCTGTGCGGCGAGAATCTGGTTGTTTACAGCCTGCATGCGCCTACCTAGCCCGAGCCAATCTTTTGAAGTCTCTGCAAACTGTACGCAGTTCTTTTTTCTTTTATTTTTTAAAGGCGACGACCTTGAGACCTCTTACCTGTTACCTCTTACCTGCCCCAGGTAACTAAGAACTATTTTATTCTGTTCATCTGATTCATAAGACTTTATCTGATTGCTTTTTCTGGATTTGAGTTTGGGTTTGTGTTTCAAGTTTCAATCAGTTCATGGCTGTACCAAGTACTACCAACTGAGCCACGCCCATTGGTTGAGCCCTTGGATTGTGTGTGATCAATCTCTGGCCGAGTTCACTTGACTTTTGGGCTACTTGGTTTAGGGTTGGGCCTGGCTGTCGACTTTCCTCAGTCCTGGGGCAACTTTTCCAGGCCCTGGGTGGGGTATTTCTTCTGAGCCCCTGTACGCTGTCCTCCTCCCCTCCCCCCCCCCCCCCCCCCCCCCC